CAAATTAGTCGCATCATTATGCTTTAGTTATCATCACACCGCCGAGTATCCAAGAGCATTATCGCGTAGTGGTAATTCGGAACTGTTCCCGGGAATTAATATCATGTGCTCCTGGCACTCTATTACTCATTGGGAGTTAGGGTTGCTAACTCTACATAGTATAAATAGTATCCTTAATATAGACTCAAATGCACAAATAGGGATAGGTGATTCTACATAATTTGTTAGGTAAAAAAGTCGGCTCGATAGTATTTTGAGAATGAAACTGACAATATTGTGGTAACGAGCAGCAGAAAATAGTAATTAATTAAAAAAATAAGTACCTAACTATAGAAAAGTAAGGTACTACTACTTATTTTCCATTTCTTTTTCTCCGTTTTCTTGGTAATCTAATGAACAGCTTCAAAAATCCTATTATTTGTAAGTTAAAAAGTTGACAACCCTTCTGGGAGTACGGGCTCATCAATCATGCCTCGGCGCGGCACACAGATAAAGTGTTAATAATCGGCGCTAACGCTACATTGTTCGTTATTTAGACGCTTTCCATCTGCTGATACCGCGCCGCGATGAGAACTAGTGGGTGTCAGTGTTTGTGTCTGTTACGTAAGAATTTGTACTGAAAGTCAAGTAAGGCTGAGGCGACTGTCAATAAAAGGTCGGCAAAGTAATGTAGAGCCAGCGCTATATCGAAATCAAAGATGTAATGCTGCTATTGTTCCAGGGTTTCTGACCGTAACTGAAAAAGTTTTCCGTAAACTACTTTTGTACTTCTACAAATTCTACTGTTCTGTTATACCTACATTTTTTGTCTTTATACCAACGACCTGTTTTGAGCTATGCCATGTTAATAAAGAGTAAAAAAAAACTTTCAACTTCATTAAGAAAATTAGGTCGGGTATTATTGTATTTATACCAAAATACTTATGTAGAGTCCTTTGTACAATTTTAATAACTTTTATCTAATTACATTTTATTTATATTAGTTAGGTAACTTATTTATTAAATACTATAACAGTTAGGTGACCGTAACTAATAGAATATCAAAAGTATCCTCAATGAAAGCAATTTGGTCTGCCGCATTAAACCTACTTACCTGCATATTTGTTTATAATAATTTCTTAAAATCAATTACTTTCATCAATAAAGAACCAAATTGCGATATCTAACATGACACTTTTCCCTTCAGCTAAACATTAAAATAAAGTAGAACTGGTGAGTAGAACAATATGTAAGCGAGCAACAAAACGCACTTTATCAGGTGGCAGTCGCTTTATTATCCCGCTAATGACCAACCCCTCCAGAGTAATAAAAGTCGATATCAGCCCCCGAACTTTGCCCACAGATCGACTACAATTGATACTTTGTAGCTTTTAAATTATTTGCTGGTGGGAAAATTGTATCTAGAGCTGCCTGAAACGGGAAGAAAATACGTAATGAATGAATATTTGTAGGTAAATCGGTAGTCTCGTTATTTTGAACTCTGGCGATAAAAAAACTACATTTCATCCAATCCCAAGTTCCCAAACTAAGCAAGTAAGTACCGTGTCTGTATGTAAATAAATGATTTGATTTGATAAAAGAGCACATTTTTAAGGCAAAAGCACAACGAAAAGAAAAGCCTATCAGTAATTCTCTTCACAGAACACCCTGAAAAATATATGTATTAATTAGGTAATTCCTGTTGTCATTGTCATTACCACATCATGTCAGCTTACAGCTGGAGACAATACCAGGTCCGGTCTGAACCAGCCTCCAACTGAAATTGTATCAAAAATAAAAATACCTACCTACACTAATCGAAAGGATCAATATCCTTCGTTCGAAGTACACGCTCAGCGAACCGAGGCTGAGAATTAGCCGCGGCGGGAAAGAAAAATGATTGCGACAGTCCGGCGAGCACCGCTAATGGAGTCTGCGTCTGCGAAATGTTTCCACTTAGTGCACCGCCTCCGCTGGCCAATACGCCCTTAAATTGCTAAAATTAGTACAGTATATAGCCGCGTACATGGGCTTTTATTGCAATACATAACACCGTAGATTAATTTGTGATACATAATTAACACATTCTTTTCTTATAGCGTGTTTTGTCTATCTTCCCTTGTTATAGTGGAGTCCTGAGACAAAGTAAAGCCTAGGCCACAAATGTGTAAATCTGCCACGCAAAATAATGAATTACGAACATGGTCATGGTATACTAACCAAAACCAATATTCCCTAATACGTCGATTTGAACAAATGCTAGGCGTTAACGGCAAATAATGCCCTAATCCTGAGTATTTAAAAAGATCAACGGATAGCGATAACAGCATAATGGGGTGACTATCTGATGTGTGTATCTACTTAAATTCAAATCGCTATTGTAATACACAGAGGGCAATTCGAAACAAGTTGCAAAGCTCGCGGCAATAACGGGGCCCCACCCCAACAATACGCACTCCCCTCACAAATTAAGTGTAAAACAAAACCTAATGAAATTTAAATATCTCTCCGCCGACGCAATAACTGCACAAATAAAATCATGTCGCGGGGGAGAGTAATCGCTTCCATTGTGTACACATTGTGCGAAATTATTCTATACTTGAGTTCTGCAACTTTGTCGCAGTAGCCGTGTCTCATCTTTGGTATTTCAGTGAGTAGGAATCGGGGCGAGTGTGTGTGACAAGGTGGCAGGGGTCGGGAACTATGTAAGGAGGGGCGGGATTGCTCTCGAGACAGTAATAGGCTCTTGGGGTGATAGCCGAACCTCTCATTGTTAGCTTGTTAGCGGGTAATTCGGAGTAACGTGTTTAGTAAGCGGTGTATGCGGGATGGAAATCTGCCTGCGGTTATATGTAATTAGCTTACAAAAGGAGTTATGTTGTTACGGAAACGTACGAGATTCAATGCTGTAATTAGATTTAGATTTCCAGATTCGACAGGTTTCCGGTTGAAACATTTTCAGTATGATCGTACTTTAGTTATGTAGTTAAAATATTAATTACATCCTCCCTACTATAATATTATAAATGCGAAAGTTTGTGTGGAATGTGGATGTTTCGATGTCTGGATGTTTGTTACTCTTTCACGCAAAAACTACTGAACGGATTTTGATGAAACTTTACAGTATTATTGATTATAACCCAGAATAACATATAGGCTATAATTTATGACGATATATGTATGTGACAAACTTAATTTCACGCGGGTGAAGCCGCGGGCAAAAGCTAGTTAGTTATAATGTTCCTTCTATTTACCAAGAAATAAAAAAATCATATACTATTTCCTCCAATACCTATGTAACGGGTTTTCCCAAAGAATTCCACGTAATTGCGCCCAGCATTCATCTGCGGAAACATCATTATTCTACCAGATTGAGTCGAGTATCCAAACGAATCTTTTAAAACACGTCCCCGCCCTCAAAGGGAAGGATACTAATTTTCTTTCGAGTTTAAAAGAAGCTTCCTTTCAAGAAGTGGAAAAAAGTTACAATCGAAAAGGAAATTTGCGTTTTAAATCCTCTAATGAAGCTGAGAACTTTGTAATGGAGGGGCGAAAGGCTGCGGACAAATTGAGGAAAAAAGTTAGAAGTAGATACCGACAGATTGGTACCAATGAATACAGGGTGTCCCCAGAATCTGTTACAACGCCAATTAATAGCTTAGGTATTTCACGAAGGTATGTAGGTTTTCAGATTTGCTGATTGATGATAATGACTTGTATTAATGAAAAAAAGATTCAAGAAACCGATGCCTATAAAGTCAACATCAAGAAGGTTGTTTATCTGCTGATTACTACAACGAACCTAAAAATTATGTTATTAATAAGCCCAAACTTTAGTAATTTGACTTTAGCAGCTTTGTATAAAAGTCTACTCAAATACAATTTAAAAATAATCTTATCCCATATGGCTTATTTATCTTATTCCGTATAGATAATAATTACATTCCCATATTTTTTAAATTTTATTACAAGTTTATTGTCTTTCACTAGATCAAATTTGATTTCATAAACAACCTGTATATCATGAATTAATGGTTTTTTGAGTCGAGATTAGGGGTCGATCGATTAAATAGAAACAAAGTTTTTTTGTAAAAAAAGTTTATATTGTATAAATACTATTTATTACATGCTATAATGAAATGAAAACAAATTATCTAAATTAAAACAAATTCACAATTTTATTGAATGTTGGTAAACATCTACAATTCTTCATACTGAGTTGAACAACTGTATTTTTTAAAGTATTTTTTGTAACGAGCGCGCCATAACTTTTTTATATTTTTATCCGACTGCAGCAATGTTGGTGTTGGTTTTGAGTTTAGGTTCATAAGTACGAGTATTTACCTATAACCGAGGGCTTTGTTGTGTATATCGTAAGATTAGACTTCATAGGTAGGTACTAAGATTTTACTAATAAATAACAATATCTTGCAATAAATAAAAAATATGCAGTCTGTATTTTTTATTTGGTTTTTTAATAAATAATTCGACTAGTTAGTTGCTCATAATATATTTATTTATTTTTCACAATGCCCAAACATTATATGAAGAGTGTTTGATGTTATATACAGTATGAATTGATAAAATTAATACAAACAGAATGAAAATTCACAAGGCACCTATTTTATATTACGGATACCTAGCTAAACCTTAACTATCGGAAGAGACGAGTGTTTGCCGGAATCGTTTTGATATTGAATATTTATTAGAATGTATGTAACGGTATAAATATTCCGAATTGGAGTAAAATTAAATATTGTTATCAACATGTTACATCACAAAGTTTTGAATGTTTCGATTGAATTTGAAAATTATCTGAGGGTGACGACGTAATTTTTACCCGACTGCGCCAGAAGGAGGGTTATGTTTTTCGAGTGTATGTATGTATGTGGGTATGTATGTATGTATATTTCTTTAGCACGGCCTACAGAATAAACGGCTTGACCGATTTTAGCGTGACACTGGCTATATTACAATTGAAAAAAATCAAAATGGCGGATTTTAGGCGCCATAGTTAGTTCATTTTTACGCAGTTGGGTTTTTGTTTTCTCATTAATATCGGAATTAATATCGTGCGTAACAAATTCGTGAAGTAAACGCAAGTATTAAAAATTTTCGGTGCTGATTTGTTCATAGATAATACATCAATATGTAGTCATAACTCATAAACATTTTTTGAGTCGTCTATTTTAGACTGTTACATCTTTTATGAAATTTTCATGAAATGAACACTGTTTTTTTATGTTTTGTTTGCAAGAATTGAAGCATGTAATCATCAGACGTGTACCATATAGATATGAGCGAAGGCCTACTGCAGGACGGCCGCGTTGGCGATAATAGAAGGCGAGTTGATGGTCTCCCCGAGGCTCTCCAGGAGTTCCTTTCGGTAGTCGTCGAAGTCTCCGTCGACCTGGTGTGGAAGAATAGATAGATTAATTTACTTCTTCCTTATCTACCGATTCTAGGGTCGTGTGTCTGTGATGAAACTACTTCTAGCTTACCTAGAGGGGTTTTAAACCTAAGTAAGATGATTAAGTAACTTACTCATCATTACATCCTCATACGGGTAACATTCTACCTTTTTACAAATAAAAATGTACTCTCGATGTTTGATTGTTCGTCAGCTTGTGCTACGTGGGATTTGCTTGCTAAACACTTCAGTAAGCCGATTGGCTGTTCTGATTAATACCAACCAGAACAGCCAATCGGCTAGCCGGACATAGGGTAAGCACTGTTTGCTGCCTAATCGAATAAAATATGTGTAAACCCGAATGAACTTAACGACTGGCACTAGTAGTTAAATGAGGCTACCCGACCACACAGCTAGTAATTTCTTTGGAATCGACAATACCAGCCGGCTTATGTGTGCAGCAATCCTAATATAAAGCCGAGCACTGACCTCGTTGATAGTCTGGTCCTCGATGACGTAGAGCGCGCACTCGGTCTCTCGGATGAGGCGCTCGTCGTGAGACACGATCACCACGCCGCCCTTGTACTCGTTGATGGCCTCCGCCAGCGCGTCGATACTCTCGATGTCCAAGTTGTTGGTCGGCTCGTCCTGGGAAAGAGAAGATCAAAATTTAATCTAATGAGGGCTATCGTTTTTATACTTAACAGTTGGCACCCCTGGCGATTGACAGAACCTTACTCTACAGTGGCGCCATCTTGATGAGTGCAAATGCGATAGTCCTCCTACCACTTTCGCGCTCACCAGTTGGTGCCACTGTCTTCGCTACTAGCAAGTGACAGGACCTTACTCTACAGTGGCGCTAACTGGTGAGCGCTAAAACGATAGCCCTCATTGTGTATATGTTTAAGCTGGTCTAAAATAACAAATATCGTTTGTTATCAATACTGTTAGTACGAACTAATTTTATGGTATCAATAGTATGGAACTCTCGATAATCTGGACGCCGTTCACGATCAGCGTTAATGTCAGCGCTGCTAGAGCCACGCGTGTCATTTGGCCGCATCTTAAATCTTCCGTTATCAGTGTGCAAGTACCAGACTTCGGGAGCCATCAAGTCAGCTCTGCAAGAGCCACGCCGCTAAGGTGCATCTTGATGGCGTGTGCGCGTAGCCAGCCAGCCTAAACATCGCTAGTAGCGCCTTCTCTTATTACAATCCTAACAGCCGCTGCAGAACCCAGTACGGTCTCACCAATATAAAGACGTGCGCCATCAATGTCAGCACTTCTAGCGCAACGCACCTCATCTGGCTGCATCTTAAATCTGCCGTCATCAATATGCAAGTACCAAAGACTTACCAATATAACAACATCAGGCGCCATCAGCGTCAGTTCAGCCAGCGCAACCCTGGCCTTTTGTCCTCCGCTGAGGTCCTTCATCTTGATGGTATGTGCGTGACCGGCCAGCCCGAAGGTTCCTAACGCCTTGCGTGCCTTTTCGTACTGCAGCCCGAATAACCGCTGTAGATACTCCACCGGCGATTCTTCAGCTGTCAGGTGCTCACCCGAGTGCTGGTCGAAGCGGCCTATCCTCTGCGGAATAAGGTTCAAATTAGAAGTAGCAATAACAGTAGTCGGGCAAAACGATGCTAGTATTTAAACACTTCAGGATGCAGAGCGAAGTTCTACGGAAGGTTCAGAACTACCGGTTGACTGAACAAGTTCCTTCGATAGCGGTGTGGGACATGTGACGTAACAGCTATGTTTCAGTTGAAGTCTGACTGATATTTGTCATTTTTATGTCAACAACCACCCGCGCACATCGCTCTACTATCGCAGAAAATCATCAAACTAACATATTAACATTCCGCAAATACAATTATAGAAAAAAAATTAATAACCAAAGAAAACAGATATTGCTTTTCCAAACACCGGGTCTATCAAAATCCAAAATATATTGAACCTAAAGTAGGTGCACTTAAGGTTTACATTCATAACATATTGAAAAAGTTTATAATCTAACATGGTGTTACTAACCAGTCTGTGATTTCTAATCAGCTCCCCGCGACAAGGACTCAGCTCTCCCACGAGCAGCTTGAGGAATGTGGATTTGCCCACCCCGTTGGGGCCCACTATGGCGATTCGAGAGTTCAGATCTATGCCGAAGTCCACGTCGATGAACAGCGGCTTCTGCCCGGGGAAGTTGAAGTTCACATCTGTGGAAGGCATACACGTTAATATTCACATAATGAAAATGGCAAGTCTCAATGACATTATAACTAAATAGTCATTTTAATTTAATTTCTTGATCCTCCTTTTATAAGAATAAGGAGTTATGTACTGTACTGTATAGGCATTTTCTGCTTAATGTGTGTATTTTTCCTGAGCCCCGATTGCAAATTTTCAACTGCAACGCGACTGGACTACGAACGAACATCAGCTGTTTTGACAAACGTATCGCGGTGTCGTTTTGACAGCTAGATCAAACGAAGCTGTAATGTAAACGGAGCGCAACTGCTCCTTTGAGTTAAAGCTGACAAAAAGCTACTTTTTCTCAAACGCAAGTCAAACGCTTCACGAACATTTGCTGTGTTTTAGTAATTTTAGTTTCAAAAATAATGTGTTCGAACTTTTAATGTAAAGTGCATAAATCTGTTTTTTCGTCTTTGTTAGCGCGTGAACTTTACTGTGATACCGAATTGCACATCAGCTAGAATGATAATGGAGCGCGAATTGCACGCGACTGGAGATGAGACACGAATGAATTGAAAACATTACAATGCGAACAGCTAGGGACTGGAATTCGTTGCCTGCTGCTGTCTTTCCCGAAGACTATAATCCGGGCCTTTTCAAAAGTGAATATGCACTTACAGTACAGATATGTACCATCCTAGACTGCATCCCACTTCACATCAGGTGCGATTGTGGTCAAATACCTGCCATGTTATGCATAAAAAAAAATGCGCAATCTCGGCCCTGACCGGCGGCACTCCGCGGCGGAGCGCGTGATTTTCATATAAAAAATCACGCGCGCGGACGCGTTGTCAGTGTGAAGTGCCGCGCGTGTTTTCTATACAAACTGAGGTACTTGCATACAGTGATTAAATTGCGGAGCGCGGCGCAGTGTGATAACCGCCTAAGCTGACACTGAAAACACTGAAAATAAGCGTGTGTGTATCACGTACTGTGCAGGCCGAGTATGGGCGGCTGCAGCGGCGGCGGGTCGGGGAAGGAGAACTTGACGATGTACTCCTTGGGCCGCTGCAGCAGAGTCACGGGCGCTGCGCCCTCGTCTGCTTCCTCGCGCTGCGACTTGCTGCGGTTCTTCTCTTGCTTGCGGGTCAGCGCTTCTTTCTGCTTCTTTTCCTGTTTGAAAAGGTAAAATAAACATCTTAGATAAATGGATAACGTCTTCGTAACAAAACAGTTGCTAGGCAGACGAAAGATCGTGGATTTAAAGTATTAAACACCACCTGAGACATACATAAGGCCCGGTTTCCGAAGCGGAGCAGAATTTTTTTTTTAATAAGTAACCAATCAGATTTCATTTCATTCTATCAATTTCATTCAATCTGAATGAAATCTGATTGGTCATTTAAAACAATTCTCCGTTCCGCTCCGCCTTGGTGGAAACCGGGCTTAAGACATACTTAAATAGATATAAAAATATATTCAAGACTCGCAACTATCACTAGTGCTGATTAGATTGACTTTTACCCCTAACGGGAATTGACCCCACAACCACATCAGTGGTAGTTGCAGAGTATTGTAGTAAGAATAAAATACATACTGCTGCCTTCTTCGACTGTCCATGCGCCTTCAGCTCTTTCAGTCTCTTCTCTTGCTTCTCATACTCCTTGATCATTTCTTTCCTCTTTTGTGCGTACATCTTCTTGAACATAGAGTAATTGCCCTTATAATAGAACAACTTCTGCTGGTCTAAGTGGATGATTTCGTTACACACGTTGTCTAAGAAAGACTGGTCGTGAGACACTACTAGTAAAGTCTTCTTCCAGCCTTGTAGGTAGCTGTAAGTAGAAAATAAATATTAGGTACTTCTTTATTTCTTTTTTGATTGTTACATTTATTGACATTATTAGTAAGTATTTGTACTTACTTGTCCAACCAAATGACTGCGTTCAAATCTAAATGGTTTGTAGGTTCGTCGAGTAAAAGAAGTGTTGGTTCAATGTATAGAGCTCTGTAAAAAAATACGAATATTTAGTCGTAAGACAAAGCTGTTGAGTAGGTTTATAATAAATGAACGAAACACAACATAGCCAAAGAAAAATTAAAAAAAAATTAAAATTAAAAAAAAAACTAGAGATGAAACGGATAGTTGTTTGGCCGGATACCGGATACCGGATATCCGGCCAGCTGCTAGGCCGGATAGCCGGATATCCGGCGGCCGGATAGTTGGCCCATTGTCTCGTTGCATGTCGTGACGATTTTAGCGTCGCACAGGTGCTTCGAACGCGATCAGTGGGTCTAGTAGACTACACAAGTCACACTTTTCGAAAATCGAATCCGTCCGAATCCGAATAGAATGTCAGATTTTGCAACTTGTCTAAGGGCAGATCAATTCGGGCGATTCCGGTTGCCATCGTGAGTGTGTGATTGAATAGCGAAAATTAAATTAGTTTACTTGCTGCGTAATCTGACTGAACTACATACATGGTAATATTTCGACATTAACAGATATTTACTATTTATGTATTCGTCATTAGAGTGAATAGCCCAGAAAAAAAAATTAGTATTTTGAAAGACTTTTTTGTAACTTTTTGGGCTTTAAATAAAATCCGTCATTATTATAAGCCATTTTATTGATATTTACCTCAAAGATTAATGCATTTCACTTTATTGTCGTAGTTTTTTAATATCCGGTATCCAGTAAATTTAGGCCGGATATCCGGCCTACCGGATAGTTACCGGATAACCGTTTCATCTCTAAAAAAAACTGGTAAAAAATTCTTAATAATAAAGCTGACCTCAAAGCGACAATAGCCGAACGGTGGAGGTGTCGGACTGGCCGACTCTATCTATCTACTATCGCCGCTGGGCAATGAGGGTTTTCGCGAATGAAAGATCCGCTAGATGGCGGGACGTGGATGTGGGGTCTGACTGCTGCGTGATTGGTGGATTTTGACATATCTGTCAATGTCATGTCAAAAATAACCAATCATGCATCATTTGGACTTTTTTTCATTCGCGAAAACCCTCATTGAATCTTAACACAAGCGTATTTAGCTTACCATGAGGGTTTCACGTGATTATTTAAAAATGCATTAGAAGTATCAAATAGTTACCTAGCAAGTGATACTCTCATACGCCAACCACCAGAGAAGTTCTTCGTGGCGCGGTTCTGCATTTCTCTGCTGAAGCCCAGACCGGCGAGGATACGTCTCGCGCGCGGCTCGGCGGAATCCGCGCCAATCGCCTTCAGCTCGGAATATACCTGAACACGACATAGAATATCACTAGGTAATTTAATTTTTATATGATGGACTCTGCCACTTTTTGTCAAATTTGATTTCTGTGATGAAAAGAGACGTTTAATTTAAAAAATCAAAATCAAAAATCAAATCAAAATCAAAAATATTTTATTCAATTTAGACCACAGGTGGCACTTATGAGGAACTGTTTTATATTTTTGGAAGAAGTAATTTAGGGATTAAGCAGAATGCTTACCTCATTTAGTCTATCCTGTTTGCTAAGATTTCCCTTTTCAGTTTCAGCTTCAAGTTCCTTGGCTTCCTTGAGTAGTTCTGAAATGGACAGCACAAAATTAATACCACGGTGTTCTTACTGTTGAAAGATAATGACAAATAGAAATAAGAAAAAATCTTACCAGTCCTCTTGACATCTGCCTCCAATATGGTGTCGACCGCGCTCATATCGTTAGCAGTGACCTCTTGCTCACAAAGCAAAATGTCTATGTGAGGCGGTAGAGGGAACGCCCGCTGTGCTAGATGCCTCAACAAAGTCGTCTTGCCGTGGCCGTTGGGCCCGACCAGACCGTAGCGACGGCCGTTGGCTATCAACAAGTTTGCATTCACAAACAAGTCCTTGCCTTTGGCGCTGATTGAGAAATTCTCAACTTTTATGTCCACCGCATTCTCTAATGCTGCCATCTGACCTAAAGATATGAAATACACATTTTAACGTATTTTGTAAGTTTCTACTTCAATTCATACCAAAATCGTCTTTGAAATTGGTATGATATCGACTCATATTGGCTTAACAGTGTCAAAACTAAAGACAAAGTAGAAAACTGACTGAAAAGACGAAAATATGTACTTAGTTGTGTGTACCGCAATGGAATTGTGTTAAATAAATTATTTACCTGCAGATTTTTGTGCCTGGCTAACTGTGAAGTTGGCATCTAAATCACTATGTCCCTGACCACCCTTCTTAGTCATCATCTCCATCTGTTTCTCATACTCTTGTTGCTTTTTAAGCTTCTTCTTTTCCTTGTGACTTAACTTCTTCTCAACAGGCTCTGAGGAATCTTTGTCTTGCATTTCTGGGACCTAGAAGGTTTGGCATATGATGAGTTTTTTTTTCCAACAATAACAATATCCACTGTCATTTTTAAAATTTTATAACTACATAAGATGTGCGGGGCACATAGCTCGAAGAGCTGATGGCCGCTGGGGCAGGAAAGTTCTTGAGTGGCGACCACGAGCCGGAAGACGTAGCGTGGGCAGGCCTCCCACTAGGTGGACCGACGATCTGGTGAAGGTCGCGGGAGGTACCTGGATGCAAGCGGCGCAGGACCGGTCTTTGTGGAAATCCTTGGGGGAGGCCTTTGTCCAGCAGTGGACGTCTTTCGGCTGAAACGAACGAACGAACGAACATAAGATGCTCATTAACTTGAGCTGGATGTGCCATTGTCTATACATGCAACATGCCTGCCTATGTTGAACAAAATATTACCATAAGCCCGAAGGTAATCGGCAGAGAATGCCCTTAGGGCATTAAGTTCACCTTATGTACCAATTATATGATATTAAAGCTCAAATAAATAAATAAAAATACACTTCAAAAGAATTAAACTTAAATATATTATTTTCATTAAAGACCACTAGTCCATGTTATTATACTCAGCAAAGTAAATGTAACCTTATCATCAGCCTCTTGTGATGCTTCATCACCAGATTCCGCTGCTTCTTTCACGTCAGCTTCCTTGGTTTTCTTCTTTTTGTCCTATTAGCAAAAAACATTTATTTAACTAGAACAGAATACCTAATAAAAATCGTTATGTACAAGAATGAAGTACCACATAATGAAATAAAGAAAGAAATAAACCAGATATATTCTGTAGCATTGATACCTTAAGTTTAGCAGGTGGCTCTTCTGGCTCCGGATCTTTAATTTCAAATTTCTTCAATTCTGCTTCAATATCATCAATATTGTTCTTCTTTCTTTTACTTTTTCCTAAAACATACATAGATTTATACTAATGGTTCCAGCATTATTTAATTCAGAAAAAAAGGTCATTGGAATTGCTTAAGTTTAAGTATTATCACTACCATCTTTCTGAAAGATAGTCAATGCTTTTGTTAAAAAAAAAAAAAAAAATCACAAACTATTATCATATCAAAAACAAAACATAACAATATTTTATCTCCCACCTTTGCTTTTAACTAGAAGCTCTGGTAAGTCATCTTCCTGATCAGAAGGCTCTAGTTTTACTTCCTTGTCACTGTCTTCGTCAGGCCATTCATCTTTTCCTAAAATCAAGGATTTATTTTATGCAATTACAGATTTTTGGCAATATGTTTTTTAAGTAAAAAAATAAGTTTCTTCTGGAAAATCTCTTACTATATTTGAGCATTCTATTTTATTATAAAATCAGATATCTTTATTTGTATATCATTATAAATACTCATTATACAGACCACACTAAATCATGAATTACAAGTAAACATGTGGTTTCAGGGTTATTTTAACTCTAAATAAATACCAATCACGTATACCAGTATGATATTCTGTACCTAGTCAATAAGACTAACCTTTTTTATTTTTGGATTTGGATGCTGGTTTACTCTTATTGTTTGTGACTTCAGCCACAACTGGCTCTGTTTCTTCAACATCCTCTTCATCAGAAGATTCAGCAGCTATACTTTTCTTTTTATTTTTTGCTGAAAGAAATGTACAATCATCACTTTATAATTTTGTCATCAGAAGTTAATATTTACTATACGTCATATGTATCTCGTTTCAGCCAAATGACGTCCACTGCTGGACAAAGGCCTCCCCCAAGGTTTTCCACAATGAACGGTCCTGCGCTGCCCGCATCCAGGCTCTTCCCGCGTGTATAAGTCTACATAAATAAGTGGTTGATAATGTCATAAAATATGAAACTTACTTTTCTTTTTTGAAACCGGTTTTATAATTTCATCTTCTGAAACTTCTTTGAGACCAACATCGCTGCCTCCATCAGACCAGTCATCATCTTTCTTACCTTTACCTAAAATAATGATAACAAAATAAATCATATTATTATTATTTATTTATTTTATTTTATAGTTACAACTATTCAATACACTATTTTATTAAGCAATCAATAGCAACTATCATCATCTTTATTAAATGTAAATAGTGAAGCTAAGACAGTTGACTATACAAAGAAACCAGGTGTACAAGATTGTCAATCCTAAACTTAAATAGGATTTAAGTTACTGAATATAACTGCCATTATGAGCAAAAATATGTTGTGCATAAAATGCCACATCATCTTCTCTCTTAGCAAGTAACACAAGGTTTGACCACAGAAGAAGCAATATATGCACCATGGAGCACAATATGGTGCCCAATTTGGTGGAAAACTATTTAAATTAATGTTGTACATTACCTTTCTTCTTTTTATTGGCCTTGGTGGCTGATTTAGATGTGGTACTTGTTGTATTGCTGATTACAGATTTGTTATCATCTTCCTCATCATCTGACACATCAGCACCTTTCTTCTTATTTTTTCCTGTGCAAAATGATTATTGTAAAGTACAAAATCAAGATATTGTAAAAATATTGCACAACTTTTGAACATACACATACCTTTCTTTTGAGATTTCTTCGCTGCTGGTTTCGGCACATCTTCGTCATCAGACGCTGGCACTTTTTTGGGAATATCTTCTTCACTGTCACTCCAATCTCCAGCGTTCCCTTTGCCTTTCTTTTTGCCTTTGCCTTTGCTTTTGGAGGTTATCTCATGAGTGTCACTTGCTGCCACTTTCTTATCGTCCAAGTCCTCATCGAAATCTTGATTTTTCTTGTTTCCCTTCTTTTTAGACATGTTTCTACAAAAATTAGGAATTTATTCAATTGTATTATTCACAAACTTTGATAGCCAACTCACGAAGAAAAGTTCAAAAAATGGGAAACCTGTCCGTTCTGTGTTCTGTCAAATAATATGCAATATGACAATGACACTTGACTGACACTGACAGTTAGACAACATGCACAGGCACTATTTTAACGTAAGTTTGACCACGGAGTTTGAATCACTCAAGAACTTAGAGTCAGTCGTTTTAAAAGGAGAGGGCACTGAATTCCAGTGTTGCCAGTCGGGTCTTGTCAGAAATTACCAGAAATATAAAAAAAAAGTAACCTTTTTGAATAAAAAGTAACCTTCGTACGGGG